CTTAAATTTTTTGCGACCCGAATCAATCTATGAATTAACTTCAATTTTTGGGAACTGATTGGTTCTATGAAACCTGAAGTTTTTCAAACCGATTTAAGATATGGCTTAATTTGAAATTGTTCAAAATCTTTTTGCTTACAGAGCTTGAGCAGAACAACAGCTATATTTTTGCGAGCTGATTGATTATGGGAGGCGGGCTTGCTAGTAAAGATCAATTGATAAAGAATCAACTTCAATACTAGACAGTACCTGTCAATGTTTTTTTTATTTTCGTTTCGTGAGCATTATCGTTTTCTGAAACATGCAAACTTAAAGCAACTCGCTTTTGCAACATCTCTTCTGTCGTAAAGCCAAAGTTTTGCTTGAAATTCGCATTTTTAAAACAAACTTCGAATGAGATATGGAATTTGAAATTGAAAAAAAAAGAACTTTTCGCAAAACGATTAACGCTATTAAACAAATGAAAATATTTCAGTGATTTTGCTCAATAGATTGCATAAAAAAAAACTTGCAAATGGATTCAGGCTAATAAAACAACCTGCAGATAATCAAAGTGTTGTTGTTAAGATGCTGGTTTAAAAACTAACTTTCCGCGATGCGATTCATGCTATGAAAACAACGTGAATTAATTCAAAGTTTGCTTGGTCATAAACTTGATTGAAAAATAATTTCGCTAGACGCTTTATGCTTCGAGACAACTTGAAGTACTTGAACTTTCATCGCTGAATCGGTTTTGTGAAAAACTTATGTTTTTAGCGAATTGATTCAAGTAATTTAAACAACTTGCAAGTTCTAATTGCTCCATAGCTTGCTTGACTTTACCTAATTTTTTCTCAAACTTTTGCTACTTGAAATAACTTAGTATTTTTTATAAAATTCATTGCTCGATTAGCTTGCTCAGGAAAACTTGCTAAGAAACTGAATGGAATGCTAAGAATGTCTTTCGATCCGACCATTTGAAAAGCTTGCGTAGAAAGCTATCAAACCCCACGATCGGTCCACGCTATGATGTAACATCAAATAGTTCAAATTTTTTTTTTGCTTAAATGGCTTGCAATCGGCTTCTATTGAATAATTTTTATAATGCTTGAATGGCTTGCCAATCGACTCCTAGTATGGAGCATGGTTTGCTGAATTTTTTTTTTGATTTGATCTATTAGAATCTATAATTTATGAAATTACTTGGAATATTGCAAAAGATTCAGAGCTTTAAGAAGCTTGCTGAGACAAAAACAAAGTTTTGAGAACCGATTCATGCAATGAAGTAGCCTGAAAAGTTTGCAAGTTTCTTTGCCCTGAATAGCTTGCTAATAAAAGTTTTTATTTCGTTAAAAGGATTACGCTATAAGTTTTCATTTTTACACATGCATAGCTTGTTTTATAGTATGAACTCGCTTTTTTCCAACTTAAGTCACAAATATTGTTGCGACCCAAATGTTTTTGCGACAATTGTGTTCATTTTGAAAATGTTCACTTTGATTAATAACCAGCTATTAAAAACAGCCAATGCTAAAGATTTTAACACAGACTATTATATTACAAATTCCTGTTTGATAAAAACGGGTATTATGAAAATGTATGGGATCGGGTTTTTTTTTTTTTTTTTTTCAGACACTTTGGAAAATTTTCAAAAGAGTGGTACAAATAGGAAGTCCGGTCACTCCCCTGTGCCTGCATACTCCCCTATCCTCTTTTTTTTTTACCTTACCCCACTTTCTACAGCATTCGAAAAAGTGTGTGAGGTGAATTTTTTACCAAAATTTTTGAATGTTTTACATTTTCTCAAAAACTTAAAATGGTTAGTACAGATTGTGGGAAGCTCCCCTGTATAAGCGGCTACGCCCAAACTTTTTTTACACAAAGTTATGGCCCTCAAAATAGTCAACTTTTCGATTTTTTGACCATTTTCTGAGACTTTTCTGGAAAAGTACCCTTCCAAATCTGATATTTCAGTTTCAATCGAACGGACATGTTTTAGGGAGCTCCCCTGCATTAACAGTTACGCTTATTTTTTTAAAAACAAAGCTATGACCCTCAAAAAAGTCAAATTCAACGTTTTTGAACGTCTTTTGAAACTTTTTAATTTCTCTCGAAAACTACCCTCGCAAAATCTGAGGTTTTGGTTTCAATGAGTAAAATGGGTTGTGGGATATGGGAAGCTCCGCTGCTTAAATGTTTGAGCCCAAATTTCTTAACACAAGAAATTATGACCCTCGGAAAAGTAAAGTTTTTGATTTTTTGACCGTTTTTTCAAATTTTTTGACTTCTCCCGAAAACTGCTCACCCAAATGTAATGAGCATTGTTTTAAGCATCCTTCGACCTAACGATCTCTTGTTATCACTTAATTTTTTAAGAAAACTGAAGCAATCGATGAAATTAACAGATTTTGAAGTCCTTAAATTGGGATTTACTTTTTGCTATAGGTCTGTTTTTGAAATGCACTTGTCCTTCGGTATCAATACAAAAATTTCATAAATTATCAAACAAGTATTTCAAGCTGAAGATGGCCTCTAGTTTCTGTTTGATATAAACAGGTTGATGAATGGGATCGGGTTTTTTTGTATTGTTGTTATTTATTATTTGAGACGCTTTGGAAGATTTTTGTTTTTATCAAAAACTACTCTACCGATTTTTAAAAGAGTGGTTTTAATGTGAATATTGGCCCCTCCCTTGTGTGCTTGCATACTCCATTATTCTCTTACCTTTCCCAACTTTCTACAGCGTTCGACAAAGTGTGTGGGGGGATTTTTGAACCAAATTTTCGAATTTTATACATTTTCTCAAAATTTACCCACCCATTCTCCGATTTTTGGTTCATTGGATAGAACAGGTTATTATAACCTCCCCTGCATCAGCGGTCAGCCCAAATTTTTTTACACAAAAAGTTATGACCATCGGAAAAGTAGAATTTTAGGCTTGTTTTTTCAAAAACTACCCTCCCGAATAGGAGATTTTGGTATCAGTGTGGAGAACGGGTTGTGGGAAGCTCCACTCCATAAGCGGTTACGCCCAGTTTTCTTTAAAAAAATACTTATGACCCTCAAAAAGGTCATTTTTTTGCAGTTTTTCAAAAGTCAAAAATATGTTTATAGCGGTATTCTACAATTGTCTTGAAAACTACCATCTCAAACCTGAAGTTTTAGGTTCAATGAAGAAAGAAAGAGTTTGAGCTAAGATTGTCTGTATAAGCGCTTTTGTTCAGTTTTTCCAACTAAAAAAAGTTATGGCCTTCAGAAAAGTCAATGTTTGGATTTCTTGTCCGCTTTGTTAAACTTTTGACTTCTCGAAAACAACTCAATCTGATATTGAAGGTTTAACCAACGCAACAGGTTTTATGAAGCATCCGTGTATAAACTGCTAATCATTAAAGTTTGAACAAGAAATATGTTTCTGGAAAATCCAAAATTTTAAATTTTTTACTGATTTTTAATAGAGGAACAGCCAAGGTAGATCGAACTTGGGCAGGGTCGGATGTTTTTAATGATTTTTTCGTATGCTAGTTTAAACGCGTCCGCTCTATAAATTGAGGCATGTTAGTTAGTAAATTTCTTTTTTTTCCAGCTTGACTGCTGATGGGTTATAATTGGGTTGCGTCACTTTGCAATTATGCAGACTCATAATTGGCGTGCGTCACTTAAAAAATTTTGTAGGCTCAAAGTTTCACTCATTCAGTTTTTCACAGTAGCGTTATCGTTCATATTTTTTGCTTGTGTATGCGAAGTGCAACTTCGCCTCTGTGTAAATTTTGATTATCATCTTTTGATTAGCTTACTTATTAAGTCATCATCTTTTGCAGTTCTCTTCGCCCTTCTATAACTTCAATGAAATCTGTTTTAATGGCTGGCTCATAAACTTAAAATTTTGCCCATTGATTAGGTATAAGGATTTTTTTAAATCCTTCGATTGAATGGCTTGCTTCTGCCAGCTAGTAATTTTTCGGCCAATCGACTTAAGATATTATAAACACAAAAATTTCATATGAAGTTTTTATTGATTGAATGGCTTTTTAGAACAAGTCGTTCTAAAAAAAATGACTTTAAGATAAAAAGTGTAACATTGAGTCCATCTCTATCTCCTTTTAAGGAAGAGAACTAATAGGGATCAATGAAAGAAACGAAGACATTTACTTAGGTCGTTTGCCTTTCACATTTTTGGAAAAAAAATTTTCGAAATTAATTCGCGTTTTGGAAAAAAATTAGTTCTTCACGCTCAATTTTTTTTTGCGCGGTTGGTCTTCTATTTTCTTTTTGAACTCAGTTGCAATTGATTCTCTCAATAGAAGTAAAGATTGTGGAAAAAATATTGGCATATACTTTCAAAAAAGTATTTTTATTTTCGAATTTTCCAGCCAAGTAAAATCATACCAATTGATCCAAATGTTTTGTGCCAATTGGATTAGTTTCGTGAAAATATAGTCAACTATAAATGATAATTTGTAGTTAAAAAGCATGGAATACATTTTTTTGGCGGAAAGGCATCATAAATATAGCTTTCTTTTCCCAGCTTTCATGTGTTAAATGTGGTCGGAACTTTCTGTGCTACTCGCACAGGAACTGGCTACATTTGTTTTCGGTTGATTATTTTGGTTTATTTTTTTTGTAAGTGTCCAAAATATTAAGAGCTCAGGTGTGACATGACTTTGCGGAATTATACATATCTGCTTAAATTTAACCATTTTTCGAAGTTTTTCGAAGCCTTTCGAATTGTTTTTTATTCCAGTTTTATCTAATGACTTATTCAATTTGCATGGATGAGAAAATAATAGATATGATATTTTTTGCTAATTTCTTGTGCTTATTTACAAGAGTTTTTTTAGTCCATTTGGCTTTTTGTGTTAATTTGGCTTTTTGCTGTGGAGCTCTATTTGGCTTTTTGCGTCCTCTAAATCACCACTCGGGGAAATTTTGGGTAGCTAGAAAAAGCGTTTAGTTTAACTGCTCTCATTGATTTGACCTACCTCTCAAAGTTATTTCCAAAGTTTCCTTGTGAAAAATTGAAGTTAACCAAATCTTAAATTTCAGTCAACAACAGAATCAATTAGTTAAAAGAAACTTCAGCTGAAAATCGAAAACGAGCTCTCTCCGACAGTTTTGTGACATTTGGGACATGTATGCACAGCATCCTTGCACTCTTTGACACAGAATGGAATCCAGCACAGGAACAACAAACTGAAAGAGAGATATTTTGTAGGTAATTATATTGCGTTTACTTGTAAACCTTCTTGTTAAAATAACAAATGTGTAGATCGGGCAGTCATTATTGTTCTTGACAGGTTATTTTTTGTCGTAATTAGGGATGAACACAAAAAAAAAGAAAACATTCAGATTCCAAAGAAAGTAACAAACATTTCGGGGGGAAAATCAAATAGATTCATTTTCTTTTGTTTTCCACTTTAGCTACGAATCGAACACTGAGGTCGGAAGATTCTGTTCTACTTGCTCAACAACCGCATACTACTGTTTTTTAAATATTGTTTTTTAACAATATTGTTTGTTATATGGTCCACCCTGCAAGCAACTTACATGAATCCAATAAGGAATAAGCATGTAAAGAGGAGGCCTGCAAGTAGTACGGCCATGCAGATTGCCCAGGTACCAGAGCTGGTCCTGTAGTGGACTTGGGAGGTCACCGTAGCCTGGCAGTGGGGGCACTGCAATGTGGTACTCTTGCTTCCTTAAAGGAAATTTTTTCAACTTTATAACTACCTCATGCGCTGGGAGAGAAGCTGTTGCGGGTACTTAAAAAATCGAAACAAGCTCCCTCCTCATCAGCATTAGAAAATCCTGGTTAACTCAGACCGCCCCCCCCCCCTCTGTATTGATCAGAAAATGTGTGCACAGCTGCATTGGTGTTTTTCGTTAGACTTTAAGTTTGAAGACTGGAACCGAACCTTTTTGTTGGAAAGGGCGATAGAGCTGATAATTGCTCAGTTTGAAACAGCTTTTCTTACCCAGTTTTTGTTTTGCCATGGAATCATTACTGTATTCGCATGAATCGGGTAGCATCCGTAGCCTGAAATATTTCCATTCTTAATTCTCTGTTGATACTGAGTATCCTAATTTGCATTTTTGTTCTTTTTGAATTTTTTTTGAAAGCTACTAGTACGTGGTCGCTGGTAATATGCTTCTCCAAAGGTTATAAACTGCTATGGTTAGATCTCCGCTAAAAAGAAATGACCTAATTCAATCTAAAAAAGAGAGTTCAGGTTGCTAAAAGTGATTGCAAACCACGTGGAGGCGGCGGAGGTGGTGGTCCGTATTCTGATGGGTACGGCGTGTAGTCTCCAAAGTAATCCAGTGGCGCCGAAGGAGATAGTCCGTTTTGCCCTTGTTCAATATCTGCACGGTTCGAATTGTTGCCACATCCATACACCTCTGAGTGTTTTGAATAACCTGGTATTTCATAGAGTATTTTGAGAAGCGTAAAAAAATTGCTACTTTATAAAAGAAAAAGTTCAGAGCAGAGTTTTGTATAGGATAGTTGCTAATTTTAGTGGTCATCTTATTGTTATATCTCAGAACCATAAGAGTAAAAATAAGAAAATGAAGAACCTACCTGACATTTTCTCCAGGCGGTTAATGGTAAGTAAGGCAAAACTAGTCTTCAGTCAGCTATTCATTGTCTATTCGCAAATTCGCTTGATTTATATTCTGGTTGTTTTTATTGAAAAGCGTCAGATCATTGAATTTCTTTGCTTGTATTGCTCATTCAAAACAAGAAAATGATCTACAATTGCTCATGTTCTTTAAAACTTACTTGTTTTTGTCTGATTAAAGTTGGCGGTTTAGCGACTGAACTTTTTAAATGATAAGTAATTTTCATAATATCATTTTTTGATATCAGCATGAAAGTTGGATGAGCTATTGAGTGTTGGGTAAAATTAGAAGACAATTTTGATCTGAATTTTTTTAGATTTATTGGTTAGATGCAATGATTTTTTTAGGTGCAAATCTGATTTGCAATGATTTTCTGCTGGAGCTAGATTTGAGTGAATTTATCTAGTTAACTTTTCAGGGTCATAAAAGTTTCAATATTTCAGGTGATAAAATAGAGTGAAGCTATTTCTACTGACATCTCAATGTTAGTTCAACTAAAAATTTTAAGTTTTCTCAATTTTTCGTTATCAAAGTCATTTTTGGAACAAAAATTGAGAAAAAATTGCGCTCATGTCTGAGAATTGTTTATTTAAAGTAAAATAACTAGACAAAGAAATCGTTTCTGGGAGTTTTGAGCGTACGCACAAGATAATATATTGATTGCCTGAATAGGCTGTAGAATGAATTTTTTCTAGCCCATGTGTAGACAGACCTCAAGAAAAGTTCGTATGGTTATCATTCTAAATTACCATTGATCGTGGCTCGAGTTCCTAAAGAATCTTCTAAACTAAATGGTTACAACATAAAATTACTTTTTAGTAGGGCTGAGGAGAGGGAGATGGAAGAACTCCAAGTTTTTCTACATCCTGAATACTGTAATTGTGTTTTTGTTCCGGTCATTGAAAGAGGGCAGGAACTTTGTGTTGGGTTTGTTTTAGTTTTTTCTTTCAAGCTCTTCAGCTATGGTTCCAACAATTTTTTATTGAAAAATGACATTAAATAATTTTGAAAAAATTGTCCCAATGTCGAGAAAAACCGGTTTAATTTTTTCAGTTTTGATAGAATGCCGAGCAATTAAGCAATCGAGTAACTTCCGTTATTGACATTTCGATCAGCAAGGGTATTTCAATCGGGCACTAAACTGTTTCCCGTTAATTTTTTTTTCGCAGCGTGGTCAAAATTAGCAATAGTAAATATACATTCATTTCATAGTCATTTTTTGCTTCTACGACACACTTGATCTGGAGGTAACGAATACGCCTTGGACGGCGAAGTTCCTGGGTTTGAATCTGATCGGGATCGTTTTTTTCCTCTAACGGGATTTTTTCCGTTACAAAAAAATTGTCGCGGCTAATAATTTATCTGCTTATGTTTTGTCGGCTTTGTCTTATTTTACATTGCAGTTGATTTTAGCGTTTCGATTTTCTTCTGCTGCTCGTAATTATTACCCTTGGTTTCGTATATGTTTTTTTCGCTTCATTCTACCCAAATGTTTTTGGCTTATGTTTTATCGGCTCGGTGACAACCTAATTTTGAGTCATTTTCAGAGGATCTAAAGTTTTATACTCCCCCTGGATCGCACAAAATTCTGATGTTAAAATTGATTGTTTGTCGGTTTGATTTCGTCCCAATTTTTGGTCGTTTACTGGCCGGGTGTTTTTTATTTCTGTAATTTTTGCGGTAGATTTTCCAGTACTTGTTATAATTTTTTCACGAGGGTAAATTTAGTTCATAGTTTCCTGGTTTTATACACAGCAAAATTTCTGTTAGATGGTCTTTTTTTGTCTTTTTTGATATCTTTTTTAAGTCCAGCTCTTAGCGTTGCATATCAAGTTTGATCTTAATTCATAGCAAATATTCCTGTAGATGTTTATAGTTTATTGTTTCTGTAGGAGATGCAGGTTGTTTGCAAGATTTTAACCAAAATTTTTTTGCCTTGAGAAATAAATGTTGCTCGAAGCCGTCTTATGTTTTAGGTCATTGATTTTTATAACAATTGCAAAAAACTTTTCTCAATTTTATTTTAGCCTCCAGTTTTAAATCAGAATTCACTTAATTTTTTTTCACTCATCTGACACAATTTTTTAATTTTTGTTCCGACCATTGAAAATGGGGAGGAACTTTGTATTCTGGTGTTTTAGTTTTTTTTTGGTTTTTGTTTTCCACGCACAATCAGGTAACACAAATAATAATTGGACTGCGTTAAGTGATATATCTTATTAAAGTCCTTTCAGTCGTGATTCGAACGACAATAAAAAATTTGAAAATTTTTTCAGTGTTGAAAAAAACCGGTTTGAAATTTTTGGTCTAATCTCGAGCTAATAAGGTGACCGTGTAGGTTTACAATAGCTTTTTTAGGCTAATATAAGCTTCGAAAACTTAGTTTTTTTCAAATAGAGGTAGTTTTTGGAGTTGATAGAGCAATTTTGGGAATCATTTTTTTTTTAAATTTTTTTTTTCGTTTTTGTCATTTTTGTCCAAAAACCGTTTTACAATTGACGTGTTTTACTATGACACTGAACTGTCTAAGTTCTTCTTTATCACAACATGCAAAAAAGGACACCAATTTGAAAAACTTTTTTGTATTTTTTAAGACTGTAGTCGGAACATTCTGTGCTACTTGCACAGTAACCGGCTATCCTTGTTGGCATTTGATTTTGTATTGCAAGTGGTACGAGAGTCAGCTTCGCTTTTTGTTTAAAAAAACGGTAATTTAGGCTAAGAAAAATTAATATTTTACTAATAGAGTTTTAATAAAATCAGTTTTGGAGCTGTAGAGCTTCCCGTAGCGCTTCCTAGGCGAAAAAAGTTTTTTAAGTTTTATAATTATTGTGCAAAAAATAATTTATTTGTTTTGTTTTTATTCATTTTTGAGGACAACTGTTATTGTCCATTATGCCTATTTTCTTTGTTTTCTACGCGTTTGTATAGCTTTCTCGTCATACCACAGACAGAAAACTACACTGATTTGAAGAAAAAAAACTTTTTTGTAGTTGTTATGAATGTCGTCGAAACATGCAAAGCTACTTGCAAATGCTGAAATTAAAATATATAAAGTGCATTTCCGCCTGTAACAGTTTGTTTAGAAACTGGTGCCCTGTAACGGTGGTTGAGACGAGTTGCTGATAATTCGGATGCCGAGGTTCCGAAGGCGGTTTCTGATAAGTATTATTTTCAAAGCTTCCTCGAGAAAAGCTGCCTAAGGCCCGTTTTGTTCCGACCATTGAAAGTGGGGAGGAACATTGTTTTCTGGTGCATTTTTTTTTGTCGCCACGCAAAATCATGCATCGGTTGAGTGATTTATCATATTAAGTGTTTTCGCTCATTTGTGATTCGAAAAAGTTTCCAAAAAAACCAAGTGTCGAAAAAAAGCGGTTTGAATTTTTTTTCTAATTTCGACCGAATAATGTGATGATAACTTGTTGAATTGGTCATTTAGGCTCACAGATCCTAATTTTTTAAAGGGAAACATAGTTTAGAAAGCTATATTTTGCACTTCCCTGGCAAGAAATTTAAAAAAAAATGAATATTGGTTCGAAAAAACTTCCGAAATTTGATTTTTTTTTTTCATTTTTGTTGCTTAATATTTTTTTGAAAGCAACTGTTATCGATTATGCCTAATATACGAAATTTTTACGCGTATGTATAGTTTTATCATCACATCACGTACAACAAACGACATTAATTTGAAGAACTATAATTTGAAGAAATTTTATTTGTAGTTTTTATTAATATGATCGGAACATTCTGTGATACTTGCTCAGCAACCGGCTATCCTTGTTTGCTATTTTGTCCCTTGTTTATATACAAAATATTCTAAGTAATTTAGCTTTTTGTTTTTTTGTCCCTCAGGGTATTGTTAGCCCATGTTTACTTAAGAAACCCAATCAAAGTTAATTCGATAGCATAGGAAATTGTTATTATTTGACGTCATTTTTGCTGTGAATGTTTTGTTTTTGCTACTCCAATTGAAGAAAAGACAGCTGTCGTGTTCCAAAATTTCTTCGTCTCTTATTTAAGTAAATGCCAAAAGCTCAAGAGCGCGAAATATTTTCAACAATGGGTGTTGTGATATTAGTAGACTTGTTATGTCATGGGTTGCATGTATGGTCATTGCCTTGAGCATGACAGGGTCTGTCTCCCTGAGTTGTTGTCTTCAACCAGGCATTAAAGGTGCGTCTAACTTACTTAGAAATTCAATGAAAGTGTAAATGTATGTTTTCAAGATAATTTTGAGCTGGGTTAAACGGTGTTGACTGCTCACATTTTATGTTTCCATATAAATAGTGTGTCGACTTATTTCTACCTGCGGAAGTTGGGAAACAAATCAGACTGATTGTTTTCCCCTAGTTTCCACGTCTGTTTAACGGGTAAATCGTAACGGGGGCTTAATCTTGCTCAAATTATCACGTTTAGTCTTCCAAGCGCTCAATGTTTCTTTAGTTAATTTTTAGCGTAGTTAGTTATTACCCTGCATAGATAAGCTTAAAGATTGGGGTTAAATTTCTTTCGGTTTTTTTAAAATTAGCTGAGGTTGATTTTAAATTGACATCATTCTGTTGTGATTTGTACATAATTTCTTTTTCAGGTGGTGTATGGTAATATCAAGCGTCTTGTGTGTCTATTGGTTTATCAGAGTGACGTCATGCGAAAATTATTCGATTACTAAATGCCTAATTACGGCATCAAGCTCAAAATAACGACGTGTTAGTGGTTTTTATTGTTGTTGAAGCGTTACCAAGTCTAAACAATTGTGTTTGGTGGTCTGAGAACAACGGCTGCAAAACTATTAAGAAGCATTTGTTTTATTCGCGTTATCTCAATTATTTGGGATTTATTTGGTTAGTATACCATATAACCTTCAAGCTTGAATGACCTCATTTTAGATATCGAAAGGTGTGGCGTGTCAAGTGTCTTAAGTTAGTCGTGTGCTACTCGAGTTGCTTTGCTATGTAAGAGTGCTGCTATACCTGGATGCTATTATGATCTATTATTCGAAACAGTTAATTGTATTTGACTTCTATTCACAAGAAATTGGTGCTTGCTTTACATGAAGTCTGAAACTTTGATAGGTTTTGAGCGTTTCTAGGCATAGAGTTGATATTATGTCATATATTCTTCTTTCACTTAACTAATTATTATTCCATTAATATTGCTTTACTGCAATAATTGGTGCTTGGTGTTGGTTCAATCGTGAGACCCAAAGTTAAAGGATACATTTTGCTTTTAAATCTGGCCATAATGATGGCATTTCATCATTCTTTGTAAACTCTAGCGGTCATCGAATAAAGCTGGACCAGTGAAAAATGTCGGTTCTGAAGCCCTTAGCAAGACTGTACAACCAGTTAAACCCGGCTACCCTCTCGGGGGCGATCGATATCGTAATCGTGAAACAGCCGGATGGATCGTTCCAGTGCTCGCCCTTTCACGTGCGATTCGGGAAGTTCCAGGTGCCATATGCGTCTCTCAGCATGCCAGAAGTAGAAGTAAGTTCAATCTAAAAAAAATCAATCGGATAGATCTTCGGTTTAATTTTCTCTCACTTTTGAACCAGTCATGTTTGGATAATGTTTAAAATATAAGAGATGAGCTTGTTATAATCGTTTTTCTATGCGTTGTTTGCCAAATGATTGCCTTACCATTATACTGGTAGCCATCGCTTTCCTACCATATTATTAAGCGTCATTGAACGCAGCGAATCTTTTTTTTCGGCGGCTCTAGCTCATTGACACTTTCGATTTTATGTTAGCTATGTTTAGATACGGTTCGCTTAGTTACTTTGACAATCTTTTGTGTATTCTTCTGAAATTCAAATCTATACAATTAGTCAATTTTTGGGTTTTGATATGATCTAGATCAAGATCAACGACAAGCTGTGTCGCAGTGTGAAGATGATAGTGGGCGAGAATGGGGAAGCCTTGTTCTGTCACGAGGACTCGGTGGACCCGAACGCCTACGATGAGACAGAGGACGAAGAGGAACTTGGATCCCAAGAAGAGGATGAGGTAAAAACGACTTCTCGATACAAAAAGACTTCATTTGCTTTTTTAAATAGAATCGTTCGATTTCAAAGATAATAGTATATAATTGGTGAACTAAATGGGCCGATGTTGACTTATTATTACTCTCCGATGCGGTCCTTGCATCTGCTGTTGCTGTACAGAGTCAAAAGCAACATCATTGTACTTGTGAATTTCTTGGTCATCCTGTCTTCTCTTCGTCATTTTAGGTGAGTGAAGTGGAACAGATGGAGGAAATGTCTCTTGCCAGTTCAGAAGAGGAGGATCTGTCTTGCAGAAAACAGTCTCAGGAAGCCATTTCATCCTCAGCCTCAAGAGTAGCTGAAAATGAGTCCTCGCTACAGACACAGCCGCACCAAAAACCGGAGACTGTGCCTGCCTTGCCTCAAGAGCACTTGCCACCTAATAAGTAAGCGACACAGTTTGCTCATTTAGCAACTCACTTTTTTAAGACTCAATGAACGTAGTGAAGACTTTCATATAGATCTTGATGATTTTGTTTTCAAGATGATTTTGATGATTTTGTTCACCCTCAAATTTGACTTTTCGTAATGTGGCTTTTGATTTCTCAAGACAAGTTCATTTCCTCTGCGAAAAGGAAGGCAAAATCTACTCTCGAACAGCAAAAGTGTAAAGGGCGCATAAAAAACTATAATCGATTTTCCAGCGGAATAAAACTTACCTATGGATCTAGTTTTTGTAAATTGGGTTAATTTGATCGAAAAAGTGTTAACCTTAAATTGTCAAACTTAAATTGTTCTTGAAGTTCAAAGAGCTTGATGGCCAAAAGTTTTTTTCTTTGAAAATCAAAAAAGTCATTATTGTCTGCTGGCTATTTTTTTATCTAAATGTTCAGTACATGGCAAAATTTTTTCACAATTTCTGATTGAACTGTGATACAGAATTTGGAATGAAAGCAGTCATGTGCCTCGCTCGCTCTGTTTTCAACAAACTGACACTTTTTTAATGCGTTTCACTGCATAAACAGAGCGTAAACAACTAAAAAATTGCGTACAGTTCTTAAGCAGGGGCACAACAACGTTTATCCATAATGTGCTGAACAGCTCGTTTGTTGGTCCTTTCCCTTGTAGATAAATCTTCTCAAACAACTTTTCTTACAAGTATGTGAAATAATTAAGATCATTTATCCACGAGGGATAGGACCAAGGGGAGCAGTGGTGAAGTGGTTACGTCTTCGCCTCTCAATCGAAAGGTCGGATGTTCGAGGCCCACCATGATCCGTGCTCGTTGCTTGAGGGTGAGGCAACATTACCCAGCCCAGAAAAATAACCAAACAAATTGCATGTAGTTCTTAAGCAGGGGCACAACAGCGGTTCGCCGTGATGAGCTGTACAGCTCGTATGTTGGTCCTATCCCTCGTGGATAAATGATCTTAATTAAATACGTGCAGTTACTTTCAGGTGCAAGTGTACGCTCAGATGCTCAATTGCTTGCAAAATTGATTAAAGCTACCTAATTCATTTTATGTTAAAATACTCTACCATATAAACTTTTGGAAAAAAATTGCACTCTTTGAGCGTTTTCTGCATGGTCGTTAATAAGCTTAGAAATTTTACGCATGTAATTTTTTTTTCTCAAACATAGCAATGTTGGCTTGTTACCGCTTTGTAAGTTTTGTTTCGATGCAAATTTAACGCTCATTTGTCTTATTTGACATGTTTTATTTATGACAAATGGTACAAAGATGTTGGTAGATCTAGTTTTTTTAACTATCTTATTTTTTTTGAAGTATTTTTTGACTTAGCGGCGTGTCTCAAGTCCTGTCTGCTAGTTTGTTGTGCTAAGTTTTCTGCTTTATGATTCTCTTCTTAAACTATGTGGGATTAGTTAACGAGTTTGGGTATACCACCTTGCATTCTCTATATTTGAAGCACTTGTAGACGCTATGTGAGCAGCGCATTTTTGTTGATTTTTACTTTGTTGGCTGTTGATTTTTCTAGTTTGCCTGTTTTTCTTCCTAATGTTTTGTTTCCTGCAAATTTTCGGTTTTATTTTGAAGATCGAGTATGATCTGGCTCCATATTTTTGATTCAATTTTTTCAATTTTCAATTTTTCTTCGCTCGAAGTCAATTTTTCTTCAACGTCATGCTGTTTTAATCCTATACTTGTTGTATGGCTAATGGTGCGAAACTCAGTTTCGTCTGTTTTTAAATTGTTACATTGAATTCCTCCTCTTTTTCTATTCATTACCTTGCAAGTTTTTTTGAATGTGAAGAACGAAACGATGGTCAGTTACATAGGCCATGATTATGTTTCCTTGAAAACGTCCTAGGAAAACGTCCATAAGTTTTTTAGCGCTCAGAATTAAATTTTCGCGATTTCACTTCTGTTTTTTTTTTTCAGCTCAAATAGTTTCTTTTGTTAAAAGGAGGTCAAATTCAGCATCGAAGAGTAAAGTGTACAGCTTACGAAAAACATGAATGACATCTAGTTTCAACACAAGAGTTTAATTTTCTGATTTTTTAGCGGAATAGAAAATTACCCAATAATCAAGTTTTCTGTACATGGGATAACTTGAGAAAAAATGCCAATCATAAACATTTTTAGAGTTTGAACGTTTGTTTTTACCATACTTTGCATGCAATGTGTACAAATTTATTCCTATTGGTAAGTTATTTTTCCAGGAGAAGGAAATACCGAAAGCGACGTTCACAGTCCTCAGCAAAAGCCGAGTCTTCCAATCGACCCTCACGTCACAAAAGAAGCAGTAGCTCTTCCACTCTGCCAGTTATTATCCAATCTTCCCATACTAACATAGCACAGGCTTGGACATCTACCTCATCCGGAACGGAAACTATTTCCAACATCCCCCCACAACACCAACTCAAATCAGACGAAGAGGGAATATTTGACATGGAAATTGAACCAGAACACCAGTCGCTGTGTGCAACACCCACACAGAAATCGCCAACGTCTGCTTTTGTATCAGTAGAGTCCGGCTCACGACACTCACATGTGCAATTACCTGGAAATGAAACACTAGAAGAAGATGGAAATATTAGGTTGCTTGCGAAAGTGCAAAGGTTTCCAGAGGAGTTCGCACCAGCTATTCTGGAAAATCCTATCGTTAGTTTCCTCTTTTAGGGGACTCTTTCCGTTCAGTTTGATGTATTGAAAGACAGTTTTTTAATGAAAAGTTATCGCAAGTCTTGGTCTTGGAGTTAAAAAAAATAGAATTTTCTCAAAAATTCTAAAATGCTACATGTTGACATCGTAAATTTTCTTCGTTTTGATATTTTTACTTAAGAAATTATGTGACATAAAATTTGAAGACTGGTGGTTATTGTTTTAGGTGAACTTGAAACAGGTTTTGTTAAATTAATGTGTTAAGCTCATTTGAATAAGGTTGATTCTTGATTTCGGTGTTGGGAAAAGACTCTTGTGCCCGAAGAACCGCTTCATATCATTGATTTAGTGTAATATCAGCTCGACTTCATAAAGATTGTTAAATGTTTGGTCTTTTTTCTCTTTTGATAAGCAATGGTGTTGCAACCGGGTATTAGACTTTCCCGTAAACCACCTTGATTGCAGAATGGACGAAATGGTATTTCTATTATATTCTTTTTTGCCGTATTTTAAACGAGTTAAATACTTGCATTGCCTACGTATGACCTGTCTTCACGATAAGAGTTGTAGAATAATTTTTATGGGAGCCTAAATTTTTCGGTAGATGTTCAGCGCATAAGTATGTTTGCTTTAATTCTGTCAACTACTTTTCTTTATGTTTTAATTCTATTTACTTTTGTTGGTATTATATGAGAACGATTGAATTCTAACAATATATTCAAGAAGTTTATATCACCATCGTAAGCCCTCCGTAATAAAATGAGAAAAATAAAACCTGAAAATTTGTCAACATTTTTTTGAACTTTTTTTGGCTTTTTGGTTTAAATTTTTATTTTTATGCGACCGGCTGTATGCATTATGCTTCCAGTTAGAAGGCATTATCAAATCGGAATATAGATTTTGTTGGGTTAACAACTTGTTCAACAAAATCTTTCAACTAATTGATCTGACCTTGAGATGAAAAAAGTTATGGTTTCGATTGTTCCGGCCAGGTAAATTTTCTAATTAAAATTATTTTTTTTTGTTTGCGAAATTTACTTATCAATTTTTTGTCAGCTTCCTTCCAAATTATCTTATTTTCTTCTGGTTGAAATTTTGCTAGAAATGAAATAACTTATGATTCCTTGCTGTTGGTTTTGAATATGCGACCTTTACATTTGTAGAATTTTCTTTTCCTTCTTAGTTCAAACTCTTATATAGGTCGCGATGATTTTTTTTTTTTTTTAATTTCAGGAAATTTGTTCAGGCTCAAAGTTACTCTTTACCGGTTTGACTTTGATTTCGTTTTAAGTTCAGGTAATTTCATTCCTAAAAAGGAATACAAACTCCACAATCAAATAGCGAAAGTGCGAAGATCACGACAAACGTGAACAGCTTCCAGTTTCTAAAGTGGAATCTAATTGTTCAGGCGGATGTAAAGTTTTAGGTTACAAAACTTAATAGTCCAAAATCTCTACGATCGTCTACTCAAATCTTGTTGATGTTGTTGTTATTTATCCGCAGGGGGACTGGCTTCAAGCCAGTTTGACCGGAGCTTCAGGAATTTCTCTCCATCAGCCGGCCAGAGGCAAGTCTTTTGGAGTGAGTTCGGTCCAGTTTTTAGGGTAGTTAAAAAATGAAAGGTAGTGTGGGTAGCAAGATTGTGGAGACTGTTCGGTGGGGCATTGGAGTTAATTCTATCGTGGGAATTATATAAAAAGGGGCTGTAGCCAGATCGAGCTGCGCCAAAGTGTTTGATGTTGATCGAGGGAGCAGTTCCTCAGTCGAGGAGATTTCGAGGGCAGTGTAAGGACTTTGGGGGTAGGGGCATCTTGGATAGTCTTAGTTACATGTTTCGTATGGATGGATTTTGAGATTGGTCTAAACTTAAGGTTTTTTGGCTTTATGGAATTCGATATTTTTTTGAATGGTAAATTAACACTGTCGGTTGGGTTTGTCCGATGGTTTTCCTAGTTGAACATGTTCGAGACAAATGTATGAAGTTTTTTTAGATATAGTTTTTTTAATGTGCGAGCTGGCGCTAGACATCATCTTGAAGTCCGTAACTGGTTATCCGTGAATAATTCCACCGTGTTAAAATGGTGGAAGTCGTGATTTGTTGAAAAAATATATATATTTTCAAATTGAATATTTCGCCTGAATGCTTCAGTTTTTAGTTTCTTTGTTTTTACACCAGCGTGCAGCATAGTTTATTAGTATGAACCTTTTTCACTTCTAATTTGACTGCTTTGTTCGTGACTAGTGTTTGCCGATAATTAAGCGTCGGTGGCTAAGAAAAAAAGATGTGAGATCCCTATTTTCTGGTCGCGGGTTCGAATCCGTCGCGTTGCAGAGTGGTTTGCTGTCCTAATTCCAAGCTTGTTTTTTATATATTTTTTCTCATTTCACTCTTAAGAGCTACTTTATTGTCGTTTTCTCGTTAGTGAGTTTATTTAACCCTTGATTTTGTCAAATGAGATATTTCAAATTAAAAAAGTTGAAAAATGGGCATTATTTGAAAAGTTTTAATACAAATTGTTAAATTTTTTGGAATTTTAAATATGGGAGGTAGCGTAACTGTTTTTCTTCATCAAGTCTTTCTCTTTTTTTTCGTTTATATTTCTTGTTGCTATTGTTGCAAATCTCAACTTTGCAATTAGTAATGAAGACATATCTGGTCCAGATAGTTACGGTTTTTACTCAATCAAAGTACTCTCTTTTTTCTAACCTATGTCGCAAATTTTGTTGCGATAAAATGTGTTGATCTTGATCAATAGCCAGCTATTAAGTACAGCCAATGCGAAGGATATTAACATAGACTGTTTTATTGCAAATAGCGCTTTAGCTTCAAGGTATTATTGATCTGTAGCGTAGGAAAGGTGACCCACAACAAAATAAGACGGGGTTCGAAACTGGACAGGGTCGGATGTTTGAAATGAACTTTTTCTTATACTAATTAAAATGCGTCCGCTCTGTAAATTGAAGCTGGTTAGTTGTAAATTTCGTTTTCAAAGTGACTTCTACTGCTAATGTGTCATAATTGGCTTGCGTCACTTAGCAGTTATGTAGACTCATAATTGGCGTGCGTCACTTAAGAAATTATGTAGAGTCAAAGTTTTACTCATTCATTTTTTTCCAGTAGCGTTATCGGTCATATTTTTGATGTGTATGCGAAGTTCAACTTCGCCTCTGTTTTGTGAAATATGGTTGATCATGGACTGGTAATGTCTTCAAAGCTTTCGAACTTTTCCTGCGTTTTTTTCGCTATTTTTTTAGAGTAATTTTTCTGATCTCCTCGGTTTTGAGCCGTTGCCGTTTGATAGAAGACAATGCGCGATTGAAATGACCTTCAAAAAACATCAAAGTGTGTAGTAATGTAGACTAATAACGCATATGTGTTTTCTAATGTAGAATAATAAGCATTTGTGTTTTCTTCGGCTGCTGGCTTCCATGTTAATGACTTTATCTCGCAATACTGATGCGGTTTACTGGCAGTGTTAGTTTGAAAATTGTTGTTAGGATCCATCAATACTTCATTGTGCATCCGATTGTGAACAAGATATCCCCGAATCACCTTTATCTACTAGTCCACTAACAGTAACCCATGCTAGACTCTTGGAACGACCAGACAGTCCGAAAAGCGATAGTGAAATTGGAACCTCAACTAGCAATGTCATCGAAAACGTCAGCTGGCGATGGGGTGAACATCTGGAACCATACCAGCCAGAGACACCGTTGTCACCGGGGAGCGCGGGAAACAGGGTTGGTCTACCGGCTGAAGAAAATAGAGCCAACAACCAGAGGGTGAGGTCACTGTCGCCACCTTCAGTGCAAGATCGAGCAAAGAAGAGTGAAACTTCGCAGAAAGGTAAAAATTAGCTATTTTACTTAAAATAATGCGAGATACCTTAACAGGGAAATCGGGCAAAACAAACCAGAGTTTTGTACGTATTTATAACGTATCCTATCTAAAATGATTTATTGCTTTAGGCGGTATCTACCTTGAGAACTTAGCTTCGGTTGATCAAACAACCAAACAGATGTATCTATACTCCAAAGCATCACAAAAGAGCACCGCGAGTGTCAGCGAAAACATAAGAACTCCTCCTCGCAAATCACGGCGACATAGCCAAACATCATCGTCGTCAACCATCAGCCCTTTCGGAACACAGTACTCGAACTCCGATGGGATCCCAAGTCATATGAGCAGGCCTAGTTTTGCATATAATCAGCCTTCGTATAACCTGGATGAAAGCACGAGCGAAATCGGATCATCCATGCCTCAAAGTCCAGGATTTGCTATGGAAGATATCGCCACACAAACGCATATTGGATCGGACGGTGAAGTTTTACATTGCAATATTGAGCTGTCGCTTTGTGGAGGTCTGAAAAACGCCGGAAGTGTGATTTCAAAGAAAACTTTTGATCAGTACTTGGTGACTTACGATGAGTTCCAAAACGATCCTTTTGGAGTTTTGACGAATCCGAATCTTGTAGTGAAAATGAACGGAAGCTACTTAAAATGGCAAGTTGCGGCGCCCTTGATTATTAGTCACGTGGTTTTCCAAAGGTCACTGGATGATCCGGCCAGAGGAAAGCTTATGAAAAATTTCATGGGAAGTGGTTCATCGTCATCTAGAGGTTGGTGGTGGTCACGATCGAAAAACGATGCGACATCTACGCCATCGACATCTGTTATTCAGACGGCACCAACTTTGAATAGTGGAAATCTCTTGGTGGAAGGAGGAACTGTAGCAGCTAGTTCTAATCTGACTTCATTTGAAACTGCGATGACTGACGTTGAGAGTAGTGTGAGTCCCCAACCTGGCGTGGAAACCTCGAAAGTTGAGGCGGGAACACAGGTTCCCAAAAACGGTAAATTTCGGCTTATCAATTTCCTTTGTTTTCTTAAATATCGCGTCATTGAAAAATATTGAGATATTTATGAATCTGCTATATTATAACGCCTGCGATTAGCAGGTGCTATCAATGCAAAATATTATTTTTTTCGTGTTAATAGCTTGTCTAACAGAATCACTTGATCGCTTGATTTTCAATGAAATAGCTGTGTTACTTTTTTGGCCCAGTATCTAATCTCGTTAATCAATTTAATCATCATAGCTCTACTTTCTTGATCAATTTTTGTGGGTCAGAAGAGAAAAGGTTATAATTCAACCATTGTTGCATGCTATTAATATTGAGTTGCCTGCAAAAAAAATTTCAGCTATTGCATCTAAATGATTGTTGGAGTAAAACGATGCGCAGCCAAAAATAATTCCATGTTTAACGAAAAAAAGGTATTAAATTATCAATGGTTTTGAAATACCTGAAAATTACGGGAAAAATTTTAGTGTGGAAAGTTATGCGGAGCTCCGTTTCGCCTCTTCAACGATAATTAGATTCATCAAAGATCTTGAAGCTTATGTAGTACACGTATTCAACTGAAACCAAGATTGTGTTTTAGCAGAATGCGCTTTAGCAATCGAGCCTCAAACTACCAACAGGCTCTCGTCCAATCAGATCGCTCGTCTGAATCTGCGCATGGGAACCAATGACATCTCATTCCGCATCACATCTCAGTTCTTCGGAAGCACTACCTTGCAGGTTGGTAGAGACTTAGTGGACCATTATTGAATCAATTTATTACCGTTAAATTTCCAAGAATTGTTACATATGGCAGTTCAAGGAAACATTCCAATCTGACAATTGTTGTTGAACCGCATATAACACTTTTTTATATTGTTGTGCTCATTTGCGATGATTTTCTGCAATTCTTCAACTTGTGATCAGAAATATAAATAAGGGCTGTTATTTTAATTGATGTCTCAAAGAGCAGGCATATCTCGAAAGGTCGAAAGACGTCCTGACATAGTTGTTTCCTGCTTCAGGCCAACATATTTGTTTTTGACCACAACGAGAAGATCATCATCTCAGATGTGGACGGGACAGTGACCAAGAGTGACGTCATGGGTCAGATTCTGCCTCAGATAGGAGTGACAGACTGGAGTCAGCAGCACATTGTGGATCTCTACCAGAAGATAGCTGACAATGGGTTCAAATTCCTCTACCTTTCTGCGAGAGCTATCAGTGAGTTGATCTCTAGAGCTGCACACTAAGTGTTGCTGGACATAGTTATGATAGTTATTTCGGTCATATGGTTCTTAAGTGCTAATGAGCGAAGTGAAGACACTCGTTTAGGTAGTGTGATTTTTTCCGCGCTGAAATTGATTTTTCGAGTTTTGTCTTTGGAATTCTTTTCAAGTTCAATTCAAATGCATTTGATAAAAAAAGGAAAATCGGGCTTTCCTTAAACCAAGTGCAAAAACAATCATTTGCTCACGCATGAATGTGAATAACGATTTTTGAAAGCTCAATCGTCGAATTTCACGCCAGGCCAACTCATTCGTGGTCTGTTTGTAAAACTGGACTGAAGTAGAGTCGACCAGGTCGATTGGTTGTAATTTGATTAATGTGACCAATCGTTTAGGCATGGCTAGTATGACGAAGACCTATTTGAGAAAAGTGCGTCAGAATGAAAAGACACTCCCAGATGGACCTCTGTTGCTATCCCCTGCCTCACTAGTGTCTGCATTCCATCAGGAGGTAACTAATGTTTTTTTCTTCAGGAGGTAACTAATGTTATCTCCTTTAGTGATTAAAACACCCTTAGTGTACTTACTATTAGTGTCCTGTAGCATTCAAGATGTCTTTTTCAGACTATAGTTGTTGGGTCAGGCTAAATTTTTTAATCAAGATCCAGCTAGGAAAGGTTTCATTATATAGTCACATCAATTTGAAGAATTTAGATTTGAAGAGTTTTACATTGTTAGCAGAAGGTACTTTATATTGGGAATGTTACAGTTCCGTCTGCGAAAATTGTATACGTCTTACCCATATAAACGTAAAGCGACACTGTTTGATTGGGATTCTTTGCCTCTTGCGATTAGCAAGGGTATCGTAATAAGGTACTAGACTTTTCCCCGTAAATAATTTTGCTATCAGATTTCTTACGTGAGATAGTACGTGCTTCAAAATAAGTTCAAATGCAATGACAATTTCTGCAAGTTTAGTCTTGAGGTATCGCCCTTGCTCAAATAGAATTTTTTCGAGTTTAATTGTCAGGCTAATATTTGTCTGCAGAAATTTAACGACTTACTTTTCAAACGAGTTTCTTTTATTTTAACGACTTACTTTTACAGGGCTATTTTTACTGGTTTTGAAATAAAATCTGTAAAAGACTACAAATGTTCTAATATCCTTTCCCATTTTTTCAATATTTTTCATAACGGCAGATTCATAAAGCTTCGCCTCTGTTTTTTTTCTTCATTTTTTAAACACTGACAGTTTTTAACACTGAGTTTTCGACAAATTTTCCTCGTACTGAATTCTTCTAGAGACAAACTTTGACTTTAAAAACTTTGTTTGTGTTTTTCTTTTGACTTTTTTTCCTATTTTTTTTATTGAGCTGGCTTTCGTGCTAAATCTTTCTCACGATTAAATAGATTTTATCGCTACCTTTTTCCTCCAGGTGATTCTGAAAAAGCCAGAGGAGTTCAAGATCAGGTGTCTCTCTGACATCCGGAGTCTGTTTCCCAATGGACAGCAGGACAACCCATTCTACGCCGGATTCGGAAACAAATCAACTGACAGTGTCTCATACATTAGTGTCGGTATACCCACGGCCAAGATATTCATCATCAATCCTAAAGGTATGCACTTGCTAACAAGAACAAGATTTTGAAAAAAGGTAGAGCAAGACACGTCAAAAACGCTCATATCCGATGATCGAAAAACACGTTTTATCGCAAAATTGCGTGAGCAAAACAAAGTTAGCAGAACATTTTCACGACATTTTAATTTTTATAACTGAGCATCACGGAAGTATGGATTCGTTTGTTACTGAACATGGTGTGGTGGTAATTTAGGTGATGTGAAAATAGAAAACGCACTGTCCATTCAGACTAGCTACTTTGACCTCTGTAGCAAAGTAGACCACCTGTTTCCGCCTCAAAACTCACGCAACAAGTTTGACAACATTGGCTTCAGCTCATTCCACTACTGGCGAGAACTTCCTCCCATCCCGTCACCACTGTCATTGGAAGCTTCAATAAACAACGAGATGACGCTCTCGACTAGCAGTTCAAGCAATGAGAAGTCGACTCAGCAACTAAAGCAGACGCAACAACATAAGTCTACGAAGAAATAGAGAAAGAATTATGGCTAGCTCTGTTGTTAAGTGTAAAATATAGCTAACGATGTAGACTTTAGTTTGTAGCAACTTACCGTGACGCTATTTTTTGGAAGTGCACATCTTCCTATTTCAAACTGCACATGTTTAAAACTGTGAGATCGATACCCTGTCCTGCAGTGACCGAAATCTGCGTCGTTTAAACTTGCTAAGATTCTTTGTGTAATATTAATCGAAATTGTTAGGTATATATATAGAAACAAACTTCCATATTCAGATATTAGAAATCATGTGCTACTGGGATTTGATAGGAATATTTATTTATTAAGGATGAAATCAAGTTAAGTTCTCAGATTGGGACCAGTATGATGCATTCTGCGAATGGCCAAATTAATAATCATGTTTATCTCCATTTGGTGCAATTGCGCTATCAGCTCTCCATGTCATCAAGTTCAAATTTTGAATTGAAATCTTAAATCGTTTTCGTGTCTTTTGGTCTAAGGATGTTTTACGAAGCTCAGGTTGGTTAGACGAAAACGATGCATTCCACTGAATAATTCTAAACTTGTTTCTGCGGATATTAGTCGAGCAAGAGATCGTTAAGCGATTTAAAATCGTGTTTTTTAGACTCGTATATAGGCCTTGGTGATTGTTTACTGTTGTTTTTCTTTCAGGATTTCTTTTTAGGTAGAGTTAAAAAGAAAACAAACTTCTCTATCGAACAGCAAAACTGCGAAGATCCTAAAGAACATGACCCGACAGTGGATTTTATTTCGAAAGTGGATTTTTTTTTTTTTCAGATTTTCCAGAGGAATAAAAATTTTACTTTCCTGTTTTCTCAAATTGGATTGATTTTATCAAAAACGTGCCCATCAAAAGGTATTCTTGAATGAAGTTTTTACAAATGGTTTGTAATTAATCGGACCATTTTTTTACACTATCGGCAGCTTAGTGTATAGTTACGAACCTTCTTTTTTATTCTAGCGTTAGCTAGTGTAAAAAAGAAGAAACTTTTTTTTTTCTAATCTAACTCGCAAATAAAAGTGTTCATTTATTTGGAAATTTCACTGTAGCATTGGAAATTACATAGCATCGCTTCTCTCCTTTATTTGTGACTAGTGTTTGGCTATTAACTATGAAGCTTCTGTGGCTGAATGGTTAGGGTGTTAGACGCTCTATCTCTAGGTTGCAAGTTCGAATCTCAGACGTAGCTGTATTTTTGCTAACTCGAGGCTTAATTCTACTTTTTCTAATTGCACTTTACAGAGCTGCTTTTTTTGTCGTGTTCACGCTTATGTTTGCGAAGTGAAGCGTCACCTCTGTTTTTAAAATTGTATGATCAGCAAGCGGTCGAAAATGAGAATCAGAATAAAACAAATAAGCGTGAAAAATCCATTTGAGTCCGATTTAATTTTTCCAGATGAAAACAGTATTATTTAGAATTGGAAGCAATATTTTGAGTGCAATTACAATCATTCACGAGTTTAGTACAATCGTTTAGTGTTGCGAATTTAAGCTAATTCCCGATCATGGACGCCGCACGATCATTTCAATGTTTTTTTTTCTCAGTTGAACAATTTTTATGCACTCTATTTCATCATCATCGTTGGTTTTGCACCTTTTGGAGTTGTTACCGATAATGTTTGTTTCCATTCTGATCTCTAGTGAAAGAAACCCAAAGTGGCCATATTCTCGATAGTGGTAGATTCGTCCGAATATGTTCTGTTCTGCAGAGCCTAAAGAGGTCACTGTACTTGTTTTTCGGCATAAGATTTTCTGAACCAATACCACGTATTGAATTTTTGGATTGCCAGAGAAAGGGAAACGAAAGCGCTACTAAAGCTTTGATAGCAATTTGATGACATAAGCCAAAGTGTTCTGACAGCGAAACAAATTGAAGACACCGGCAGATAGGCTTTGGAAATTTATTCGAAGTTTCACTGTAGCATTGGAAATTACATAGCATCGGTTCTCTCCTTTATTTGTGACTAGTGTTTGGCTTTTAACTATGAAGCTTCTGTGGCTGAATGGTTAGGGTGTTAGGCGCTCTATCTCTAGGTTGCAAGTTCGAATCTCAGACGTAGCTGTATTTTTTGCTAACTCGAGGCTTAATTCTAATTTTTCTTATTGCGCTTTACAGAGCTGCTTTTTTTGTCGTGTTCACGCTAATGTTTGCGCAGCGAAGCGTCACCTCTGTTGTTAAAGTTGTATGATCAGCAAGCGGTCGAAAATGAGATTCAGAATAAAACAAATACGCGTGAAAAATCCATTTGAGTCCGATTTAATTTTTCCAGATGAAAACAGTATTATTTAGAATTGGAAGCAATATTTTGAGTGCAATTACAATCATTCACGAGTTTAGTACAATCGTTTAGTGTTGCGAATTTAAGCTAATTCCCGATCATGGACGCCGCACGATCATTTCAATGTTTTTTTTTCTCAGTTGAACAATTTTTATGCACTCTATTTCATCATCATCGTTGGTTTTGCACCTTTTGGAGTTGTTACCGATAATGTTTGTTTCCATTCTGATCTCTAGTGAAAGAAACCCAAAGTGGCCATATTCTCGATAGTGGTAGATTCGTCCGAATATGTTCTGTTCTGCAGAGCCTAAAGAGGTCACTGTACTTGTTTTTCGGCATAAGATTTTCTGAACCAATACCACGTATTGAATTTTTGGATTGCCAGAGAAAGGGAAACGAAAGCGCTACTAAAGCTTTGATAGCAATTTGATGACATAAGCCAAAGTGTTCTGACAGCGAAACAAATTGAAGACATCGCAGATAGGTCGTGTAACCAGAGTAAATTTAATACTGATTTTGCTTATACATTCTATTAGAGCAGCAATTTAAGGGTTGATCTGAAGTGGTCACACCGTACAAATAAGATGACTGAAAATTGACCGCAGAGACGCATAGTTTTGTTTGAAGGCATAAATAGGCCATTAGCATAGCAGATAGGCAGCAGGAGTCACAAACTTTAAATCGAAAAAAAAATTCATTGCAATATATCAAGCGCAGTTCTGAAATCTCGTGAAAATTGACAAATTCTTTCAGGACGTGGATGTAAGCCGTCAGAGATGTTGTTTTTATTTCGGAATTTTGTTGTTACATAACCCCACTATCACTTTTTTACCACTAGTTATTATTTGGACATATATTTTTTGCAGCTCTATATATACATTTTGATTTCAGATCTGAAAATGTTTCTTCATTTGCCCACACGTTGTGTTGTTCAACTAAGTCAAAGCCAAATGACAGAAGTCTTGCACGAAAGTAACCCATCTGCTTATTTCACAAGCGAAGGGAGAATTATTGAAAATATCTCACAGATAACTTCAGAGCATGTTTTTCTTCACGTGAAGCTAGTCGGAGGTAAAGGTGCCTTCGGGTCGCTGTTGCGGTTCATTGGTTCGCAAATTGAAAAGACGACGAACCGAGAAGCGATGCGTGATTTAAGTGGTCGACGACTCCATGACGTCAACAACGAACAGAGGTTACAAGAGTGGAATGACCGGCAAGCTGAACGAGAACGACAACGGGAAGCCGAGAAGGAAGAACGACTGAAGAAAATCAGAGAAGGCCCGAAGCACAATTTTGATGACCAGAAATATTTTGATCAGAAAAACACAATCCGAGACAGTTTAGAAGACGCATTAAACACAGCACTCAAAAATTCAGAACCTCAAAATGACAAACCCTCGTCTAGTAAAATGAATGGTCAGAAAAGTGCAAGTAAAACACCCACGAAACCAATGGTTAAGAAGTCAAAAGGTATACTGGATATGGGTTTGCCAGATGGTATTGACTCAGATTTGTCAAGCTCAGATGAAAGTGAAGACGAATCAAAAGATAAAACTCCAAAAAGTTTAACCTCAAATAATGTCACTGATAACAAATTAGATCAATGTGGAGCAAAAACTACAAGTCTTTATAAAAAAACATGCAAACAAACCTCATCTGAAGCAGAAAGCGAAGAGCAATCTTATGATAATACAGCCAAAATGACAGATAATAATGAAAACGGCGGAAAACTCGAGAAAGATTCAGTTGATCCAAATCCTAACGTTTCTTCGGGTTCGAGAAAGCGCAAACCTGAAATTGAGAGACGTGAAAATCAAAATGAAGAAACTAGTGATTCGGAGCCCAAAAAGAAAAGGATTGACAATAATTGAGTGAACTGATCTAGTCTAGCATAGACTATGACGAGTCTGTACGACAGCTGGCTCAGCAGAATATTGCTAAAATAATTTAGTTTCAACAAGATTGCCAATCTTTTCGTTTTTGTTTGTGCGGTACCAAGTTCTAATAGTAAAAGCTTAATTTAACGTTCTTGATTATCTATATATCTGAATACCCGAGAAATATGCATTGTGTTTGACATGATAAAAGCTATCTATTTTTTTTGCAGCGCCACTTGATTTTTCTCAATGCAAGTCGCCCATTCTGTTTTTACTAACTCTAAGCAATAATTAAACAGCATTTTAAAACTATAACCGTAAGTTACAGCGCATTTTTGCTACCTGATATCCGAGAATAAAGATGCTTAAGTGAAATTAGAATGGGTCAAGACGCCCTGACCCAGATGTTAAGGAAAGTGACCCTTCTGACCGGGTCACGCTAAAATACCGTGGTATAGGTGGTTTTATTGTTTGAAGTTGATTTTCTTTGGTCGGAACATTATGTGCTACTTGCACAGTAACTTGCTTTCCTTGTTTGTTTTGACGACTACCGGTCCAGGTTTCGACCAATTGCAACCAAATAATTCATCAGAAAAAAATCGAATCTAAACTACTGATTTAGTGAAGATAAATTCTTAGCAATTTTAACCCCAAAGTTTATTAAAACCTACGCCTAAATTTTTTAAATTAAATTTGGCTCACTTTAGAAGTAGGTAGATTTTTTTAAAATCTGATAATTGGGATGAAGTTTTCATTGGAATTTTTACAGATGTTTTAGGGAACTTGTGCGCACTAATGTGTGCTCCACTTTAGGGAGGTCTTTAAACCATGTCTGATTTTCTTGTAGTTGCTTAGTTTGAATAAAGTCTTATACTGGTTCTATCAAGAGCGACTCTTCGTTATGAATTGATGTAAAATGGAGCTTTCATTTTTATGATCTTCCACAAATTTGTTTTCGAAACTCCGAATAAGTTGGAAATGGTTGATGGCAGCTCCAATCACGACTAAAAGGGATTTAATATGATGTATCAATCAACCCCGGCTAACTTTAGTTTGTGGTGATTGAATTTGCGTTGAAAAGAAAACACCCAATTCCAAAGTCATGAAATTAGAAGATGGAACAATTCCAAAATTGTGAAATTGGAAGATGGAAAATAGGCAAACAATTTGCTAACAGAACCATTGAAAAATTTTGAGTCAATATCAGCAGATATCTTTGAAGCATGTTTAATTTTTTTAAATATCCGATCTATTCAAAAGATTTTTTAATCTGGGTTGTAAATTAACCTATTCCGATTTGATATAATTTTAGGCTAAGTAGGCTTGGCGTTATTATATCGTCTTAGTTGCCTCATGGCTTCGTTTGATGAATGAAAAAGGTGCCTTTTTCGTAAGTAGCTTTTGATGGGCGACTTGTTTTGATTGGGGACTTGAAACAGTTAAGTTTTTTCATTAAACAAATTTTTTGGCTCATCGTGTCAGCTCAAGTATTGTCGGATCTTACCGTTTCATAAGTTTGCGATGATGAAGAAGAATAACTGATTTCTCATTGTTTAAAATAGATATACATATATAAAAAAATTTTAACATGGAGAAAGAGAAACAGTTAGGGGACAGTTGACGAACCCATTCGGGTTACAAAGCACTGCCCGTTTTATCACATGAAATACAAATTTTGGGATCTTCAATGAAAGTGGATAATAATTAATAACATCAGAGCTCTGCATCAAAATTTGAAACGATTTGCCCTCACTATCCTTGCATTTAGGTAAAATATGTGAACAAAAATCAAATTTGATCAGCTCTTAGAAACAGCTTTTGGAATTAAGGAATTTTGTCTAAATAAATTAAAGTGCTGAGCTCCTCTGCAATTAAATGAAGCTCTTCGAATTTTGCTTTTGAGACTGGGAACTTTCATCAAATCTAAAGTTGACCTTTTGGTCATATACGACGGTATATCAAATACAAACAGCTCATTCCAAAAATTTTCAGAATGTAATTCTGCTATTGATCGTAGGACAAATTTGAGGAGTTCATACACATGCAGCTCGTGGGCTGTTAAAAATTTTTCATCGTCAAAATTTTGTCGAATGCTTTCATTTTTCTTTTGAAAAACAAAATCAGTCTATTAATTTTGTTTTGGGTCATAAAAGGGACAAAAATGGGCAAAATGGGATTGTTGTTGGAGCCATAATATTCAATCATAACGGTTTTGGGAACATAATGACGTATTTTCGATACCGCCACATTGTTTTCTAAGCTTAATTCTTATTAAATTAATGTGAGACTTAAATGACAATTTAGCATCTAAATCTAACAATTGTAAGAGCAGTTATTTTACCTCAAGATTTTTTTGAAAGGAAACTTATTCGAGGCAAATCGAGACAACATGAAAATTGTAGTTAGATATAATTTTTCAGTTTTTTGACGTTTTCATAAAAACATGGGGAAACAAGTTTTTGCGATCTAGTGTGTCCATGTTCAAATTGACTATAAATTCATTTTTTCAATCATGCCTCGAAGAAAAAATACTGCAGTTTTAATGTAAACATTTTTAGGTAACTGGTAATTTTTGTACTTGGCATGTAATGTCTTTGATCTATTTGAAGCGGTAATCTCATTGTCACAAGAAGTGGGCATAACTTTTTTAAGAACATTTCTGTTGCATAGCTAGTACTCAATTCTTAGAAGCTTCTAGTACAAAAATTCGTCTTCATGAAATTGCGCTCAATATTGCTATCTTCAAGATTATTTTAAGACAAAATGCTTAGCGTGGCGTAATCTATGAGAAGCATGCTGACTTCGCGTGCTCTTATTTATCGAATAGATAGATGGAGTCTTTGCACTTATCGAGTCTTTCGGAGATGTCAAAATACATCCGCCGCTTCTACTGCTGTTGTTGAACGAAAGAAAGTCCAGTCGTGGGTGCAGACAGCCTGGGTGACTCCGGAATTCGAACCCGGACATAAAATGCGACCTGTTGCTTACAGTGAGAGGAGATTAAGACGCGAATACAACTTTCCCGATTCGCCAATAAATGATGTGTTTCTTAATATGTTTCTCGGAAAAATTGTATATGATCACTGCTTTCCGTATCATATTTTGACAAAACCTCAGCATGATGTTTTTGCTAGAAAGTTAAATAGTCTACAACAGTTCATGAAATCACAGAACTTAGAAGAAACTAGTTCTAACCAAGAGGTTTTGTCAGCTTTCCGAAAAGCAGGACTTCTCGGAATTCGAACCAATGCGGAACTAGGTGGACTTGGAATTAGTTTTGAACGAGAGCTTCTCCGGTTTAGCGAATGTCTGTTAGATTATACAGAAGATGCAGAGTTGCTTAAACACGCTGTAATTCAAAATGTGATTCAGATGTGTATTGCAAAGTATGTTCTAAATGATGAAGTTTCGAAGAATTTGAGAACTCTGATAAACGAAGAAATAACAGCCGAGTTCGTCGTTTTCGGAAACGCAAACGTTAAAAAGTTTGACGATGGGTGGATGATAACATCGGATGAGCAACTTGAAAAATTTGGACAGTTAAATGATAAAGTTCCAGAACTGCTTCTATGCGTTGCAAAAGATTCGTCAAAGAACAAAAATGTTGCTTTTTTGGTCACTACTGCAGATAACGAAGGCTCAGTGTATAAATCAGATTCGAAAACATTCGAGCTCAATTCTTGTCCAGTAAGCTCAGCGCTCACAATTGAAAACGGAGATGACCTAATCGATATGTTTCACTCGTTCAATGCGCTTTGTATTGGTGCTTTGGTTTCGAAATGGGCTAAGCGCTTGACGTCCGAGCTTTTTCTCGATGTTAGTAGAAGAAGGCGCTATGGATACAGAATGATCAAATATCAAAACATCATGAGTCAGGTAGTGTATATTTTTTCCGCTCATTTTAAATTTTTTTTAAAGCCGGAGAATAACTTGGATTTGGATTTGTTTTAATGTAGAAAACCAGGCAAATCTGTGCGTTATTGTTGCGACCATTGAACATGGGAGAAACTTTGTATTCGGGTCTGTTTTACTTTTTTGTTTTCACGCCAAATCAGGTACCACAAATAGTAATTGGACTGGATTGAGTGATATATCACATTCAATCCCTTACGGTCATGATTCGAACCCTATTTTAAGAATTCATAAGTTTTCCCAGCGTGGAGATTTTTCGTCTTATTTCGAGCGAATCAAGCGAGCGAGCAAACTTATTTTGATTGTTTAAAAGCTTTCAATAGCTTAATTTAAAGCATAAATTTTTAGTTTTACTTGAGTAACGTTTTTGAGTATTTAAGTGCCTTTTTGGATCCTTTTTTTTTCATTTTGCTTATTTCAATGTGGATTTTAAATATAAATAATCCCCACTTTTTGTTCGACTACTTTTATCACACGACGCCGAAAAAAAACGACAGTATTTTGTAAAAACTTTGTATTTTTTAAGACTACGGTCGGAACATTCTGTGCCACTTACACAATAACCGGCTATCGTTGTTTAGATTGAAGAAATAGAGAAAATCTGCTATGCGATTGAAACTCTTCCCTACTTCTCAGCTGCAAAAATGGACAGGGCACGAGATCGATTTAAACAAGAGCCTCCTAAAATGTTAGCAGAAATTAGATCGGGTCAAATATTGCAGCACAGATACGCTCTTACTCTGACTGAAAAGTTATCGTGCCTAGGTGGTTTGAGTTGCCTTGGTAACCAATCTTTCAATAATTTTGTTAGTTTTGCCGAAAAAGAAGCATATCCAAATATAGAAAGTACTACTGAAAAAATAGCCAACGAAGGCATGAAATTATACGTGGAAAGTTTGACCAATAAGGAGTTGCAGCACCCTTTTCGACATAAAGTGAGACAGTTTTATTTCAATAACATCATACATGCTGCCAGCAACAACATTGAATCAATGTTGTCGGACCCGAACATGGTTTTTCTTCATAATAATTTCATGAGTATTGCGAATTCTGTAGATAAGAGTATGTATGAAATGTTCAAAATTTTGAAACAAGCTAGAAAAGAGAGACCGGAAACTTTTCACGAAGATGAGTTTGTGAAGAAAATAATCACAGAATTTTCTCTGAGCATGCATTTGGTTATTGTCATGCTTGCAAGGTCAACTCAGTCGACATTCGCAGGGAATCCTCATTATCATCACGAGTCTAGGTTTGTTGAAAAATTTGTCTGGGATCTTCTACAAGACATGGGAGACATGATACTGCAATGGTCAAAACCAGGAGCTTTTGAAGCCGCATCAGTGGTCGCCGAACATGCAAAGAGCAATATTGAAGTTTTTAAGGACGTTCTTTCGTGGACTGAAGTGAAATAAAGTTTTGATTTAATCTTGAAGTTATTGCAAAATATTGTACATTGAAACTCATTTTTCATGATCTATTCTGTTCTTGTTATTGTTCTTGTCGTCTCTGCTGCAAATTCATTCGTAATTTGTAAAGGATGCGCTGAAAAATACTCTTAATCGTTTTGTTTTCAGATGCAGTATGTCATTGCATCCTTATCCTGGACACCAATGCAGATCATCTATTCTAAGTTTCTCCTTTCAATGGCGTTCTTTCTAAGTGATTGTCTGAGTCCTACTTTCGCCAACGTTTATTCGCCCATTTTCCCTGGAGTCAGAGAGGGCAACTGTAACTCGATGATGAGCATGGCATTTCCAGCAGACCCTGCTGAGAATTTAACCCACTTGTGCTATGATGGTTCAGAGAATAAGCAATGTTCGGAACTTCCGGCGGCTTGCTTTGACTGCGATTTCGTCACTGTAAGTTCAAAGACTCGTAAATTCTTAGAGGAATGATAAACAATTTTTGGTATATTAAGTTTACTTAGCCAAGTTTAGATTAACTGAGCGTTACTTCGTTCAATAAAGTTGTTTCAGTAAGGTATACAAAGTTAAGAATATTTTTGGCCCGACCACGTCTCTGATAGTTAACGGAATAAATTATGGATAGGCTAGCGTTTTTTTGCCCAATTTTGACTCGCACAAAAGAATGCACGCAAGGGGCCATGTGGTATCATTGCAGCCCTTTTTGCCATGATTCTGGTTAATTCCCGAAAATTGTCCCAAATAAGTGAGACAAATGCTGTCTTTTCATCTATTTATACTGCATTTTAAACGTTTTTTTTTGTTTTTGCAGGATTGCAATTATGGAGATGCATTTAACGTATCGTGTACCGTGAAGTCAAACTTGTCAACTATCCTAGTCGAAAGCATGTTAGAACCACTATGCCTGGGAAGCAGAAATATCATCAGAGCAACAACATGCCAATATTGTTTCCAAACTGAGGAAAACTCAGAACATCATTGCATACCTGAATGCACAGAATGCTCAAGTGTTTCAACTCCCCGTCAAAGATATCTATCAAACTGCACCGCAAATTTAAATGTATTTTGCATGGGAAGGCGAAGTTTCTTCAAAATGAAGCCTTGTAAATTCACAACTGGGTATAAGTGGTCGACGGCCTTTGCATTAAGTTTGACTCTTGGAGGATTCGGTCTTGATCGCTTTTACCTTGGCTATTGGCGAGAGGGACTCGGAAAGTTGTTCAGCTTCGGAGGTCTCGGAGTCTGGACTATAGTGGACATTGTTTTGGTAGGAGTCGGATTCACGACGCCAGCTGACGGGTCGTTGTTTATTTAAGCGAACTTACTTATATACAATTTTTTGTTGTAGATATTGATACTTAGTAAATTTATATGTAGATTGACAATTTAGACTTTTGAGAGATATTCAGTTCAGGCGCTGTTCTTGCCATTGCATATGTTTCAAAACTACCTGTGAGCAGGGGCGGATTTAGGGGGGAGGGTTTGACCCCCTGCCGACCCAAAGGGTCCCCCCTTTGATACTTTTTCAAAAATCCATTTCTGGCCGACCGACCCTAAAATTTTTCTAAAGGCGCCTTTGGCGCCAATATATACTAAATTTGAGGGGGAGCGCGCGCCAAAAAAAAAACGCAATTTTTTAGTCAAAATTTTTCAAAAAGTGCCCAAAAACGGCTTTTTTGACTGTTTTTTCAAAAATTTGCCTGAGGCGCAGAAAATTTAGCCAAAATAGGAGCAAAATAGTGCTTTGGGAGAGCTCGAAAAATCAATTTGGTCGACCTAAAAAAAAGGTCGTCAAAATTTTGGAAAATTTTTTGAAAATCCGCCCGCCCTCGAGAAAATCCTAAAAAAAAGGTCGTCAAAATTTTGGAAAATTTTTTGAAAATCCGCCCCCCCTCGAGAAAATCCTAGATCCGCCCCTGCCTGTGAGGTTTGTTTTGAGCTAGATTATACAATATGAGTCTTGAATTTTCCAAAATGAGTATGGACCGATGAATGACCTCTTTACGGGTAAATAAGGCTACGGACGTCGAGACGCCTTTTAAAGCCAAAATATTATAAAGTAACTTCGACAGGGGAACTTGAATAACTGAATGTGCAATTTCAGTTATAATGAGCAGTAGTGTTAATAGTTCGGCTGGTAGCGGCAGCATTGTAGAGGGCGGATACACTGCGTGTAAGTTTCATCTTAGCACTTTCGACTGTGTGCCCAAACTGAAGTCAGTCACAAGCAGGACACACGATGTGCACATACAGGCGGAGGAGTTGGAGGCAATTCAGATTGCATTGGAGGATCAGTTGTCATGGTTCGTGCCTCATTTTATTCCCTGGGGAAAAAAATTGGGCTTAATTATTTGTACTAGAATGTGCGTGATGAGTTAGTTTTAAATTTGCAACGACCTTGGAATTTTGGTTTTAGTTTTTTTAGAATCCGTAACAAGATACAAAATTTTTTCATTGTGTGTAATAAAAAAAGTAGATTATGTCCAGATACGTTGCTCGTCATTTTTATTGAGTTTAGACAGGTCGCATAATATCGGCTTTCAGGTTTTGATGTTTTTTATTTGTTCTATGTCTTTTTATTTTGGCAGGGTGACACGACGGAGCCTTTGTCTGGGCAGCAATCTGGAAGTCCTCAACAACGGTTCTTCCGCCCAGCCAGTGCAGCTGAACTCTAACTCAATCTTCCCATATCTAGCGCAGAGTCCCTCCACCAGTGCCGCATGTGCTCTGAGGAACAACAACCCCATCCAGAACTTAACTGGAGGAGGCGGCATGTCTCCTTTTAAATTGGATGTCACTACACACGCTATCAATAGTCCATCAAGTAAGAATCCTACTCAAAATTACTTTGCGAGTAATCGTAGTCAGGTAATCGGCCTATAAGCATGGAAGTTGGATGTCGATTCTTTTCTTGTTACTTATAGCACAGACCTTTAAAAAAGTAAGAGGTTTCAAAATTATCGTTTGGCTCAATTTTGATTCAAGATATTTTGTTATAAATTGAACGGAAGTTGCAAATATAAATCCTGATGTTTTCTTGACTCCCAGATATGTTGACGGATTACGATTGCTGTTATCTAGAGAAATCAAGCTGAATATGCTTGTTTTTTTTCTGTGAACTTTTAAATGGTTCCAGGTACGCACTGTTCTCCCAGCAGAGGAGGTTCCAACAGGAAGGAGTCTGCCAGCGTAGTGTCTGCTAGTTCAAGTGGTGCCCACTTCTCTTCCATCAGTCCAGTGGAGAGTCTTACCAAGGCCAAGTCAGAGACTCCCGCGCACTTCTGGAAGTACCTAGATGCCACATACTGTGCCAACATCACATCAGACAATGTGCAAAAGTTGGTTGCGTTTCATTTAACTGAAGTCAAAAAAATGAACTTAACGCGTTTCTTGCCCATAAAGTAAGCTGATAATGCTATTTTAGTTGAATAGTCTTCTGATTTCTTGTAAAAGCTAGGGTATACGTCAAGTTTTGAGCAAGTTCAGATGAGGATGAGGTTTGTTGATCTAGATACCTTGTGGCGCTGGCCAAAACATACGACGACGAAGCAATAGCCCCACTATTTGAAGTACCTGAACTGGGCTGCGAAGCTAAATTTAGCGACTCAGGGAGTAACTCAGAACACAGCAATAACAACGACGAAAGCTACAGTGGAGCTGCAGTGACTAATGGTGCCCACTGTTACGGAGGCAGTGAGAATGGAATCCCCTATAAAAGGAGTAAGTTGACTCCTTTGGCTGGGAAAAGATCTGCAAAGGATAACGCAGACACGCCAAATGGAAAAGGAACGAGAAGAAATGGAAAGCAGTGCGGGTAATTTTTTGAGGTTCAATAGATTTAGAAGAGAATTTTTTCTTTAGCAGTTGAGCAGGCGTGTCACTAGTTATCCGTGTTTGCCTTTTTTAATCGAAGTTTTGATTGTTTTTTTTTCTAGTGAAGATGCATCTCGATACAGTGAAAATATCTGTGCAATTGGTCCCCTGACCCAGTTGATTATATCCTCCCTTGTCAAAGCCTCAAACGAATCAACTGCAGAAGATCATAATAATCTAGTGTCAAAGAAGTCCTCAGATGGTAAAGCGCAGTCGTCGGAGAGCGAAGAGGGCGATTATAAACTGTTCGACTGGCAGAAAAGCAGACAAGATTGCAGAATGGAGAATGAGTTAAGGAAGGAGTTGATGAAAATTGGTTAGTAAAATTCGTTCGACTGAATGTTAATGCACTTGTAATCACAGTTACGATTCATTCGCGATTAAACATTCCAGGGTTTTTGGAAGATTCCGAGGAACACGGACCCGACCCAGAACTGAAAGAAGAACCAAGTAGCTACTCCAGTGACAAGCTCCTGCCCACAATGAAAGTGGCGTGCGCTGATGAAGTTCTAAGTGCTCTGAGGTCCAAACAGTGTAGGTTGGATTTGCTGATTGATGCTAATAAAGGTCATCTCTACAACTTGTACCAGAAGAGTCAGGCGAGAATACAAAAGCAAGAGCTGGAGGCAAAAGCAGATTCTTTGGATGCAAAGGTGATAAAGAATTGTAATTTAATAATTGATATTAGATGACTAATAATTTCTTTTTCCGACCTCTTCAGGGAGTGGAAAAGAACTAGTGGTTCAGGTTGTTTTTTCTTTTACTGCCTTGAAGACTGCCTGCGTTGTTTTTTTTACTGCCTTGAAGAACATCGTAGGGGGTCTGTTGTAGTATATTATATAGTATCTATTATATATTTAAATGCGGGGTTCACTGTCTCGCCATGTTTAAGCTTTTTTATCGTATTATTTTGCATTTTTAACGAAAGATTTTTTACACGCGTCAGCTATATCGAAATTTTTTTGATTTTCTAGCTTGAATTTGTTTTTTTGGCGACTTTGAAATTAGCAATCCAAAATTCAAATTTTTTACTTTACGAGATACAAAAAATCTTGTGTTTTTTTTGGAGAATTTTCATAAAACTTAGATGGAAGAACTAATTTTCCAAAAAATTGAAATTCTTGAACCTGTAGATGGGTGCTGTCAGGTTAATCTTCGGGGTTGCAACTTGCGCCTTCAAATATGACTGCTCGAATCCTTTTGGTTTCCGAGATATGACATTTTTTTATTTGAGAAAAATTTTCAAAAAACTAGTAAAATTTGACGAAAGTTGAAAATCTCAACCCTGTAATTAGGTACTCTCAGAAGTTAGGAAATTGTGTCCCAATTTGAGTGCTCAAATCTTTGGAGTTTTCGAGATATGACGTTTTGTATGATTTTTTTGTGCTTTCAGAAAACTTAAATTTAAAAAAATTTGAAATTCCCAACAATGCAGTTGTGTGCTTTTAGGGTACCTTCAGAGGTTGCAAATGTTGCCTCGAGATTTGACGTTTTTTTAATGATTTTTTCATATATAAATTTCAAAGAAATTATACATTAAAACATGACCAAATTTGAAATTCTCAACCCTGTATTTGGGTGCTGTCAGGGTACTCTAAGGGGTTCCAAATTTTGCTTCATAATATGATTTTTCAAATTTTTTTGTTTCCAAGGTTTTACGTTTTTTTAAATATTTTTCAAAATTTTTCAAAAAAAATTTAATTAAAAAAAATTTAATTAAAAAAAATTTAATTGAAAAAAAATTTAATTAAAAAAACGTTTCCAACCCTACCCAACAGTTGTGTGGGCTCTGGGTATTCTTAGGATTTGCAGATATTGCTTCCAAATTTGATTGTTCAAATCATCTTACTTATGAAATATGCCGTTTTTATCTCGGGATGTTTGTCTGGACTCCATTATGACTGCTCAACTCCTTTTGTTTCTTAGAAATGACGTTTTTATCTTTTTTGCAAATTTTCAAAAGATCAATTTCAAATAATTATTTTTCAAAGTTTGAAATTTTAGACTTTTTGGTGGGGCGATGTCAGATTACTACCAGTGTATGCATATATGGCGTCTCATCCTAATATTATTGCTGAAATTTTTTCTTTGACTTAAAATTAAAGTTAGAAAAAAGAATATGATGATTTTGCAGTTGACAACGTTTCAATTTTTTCGATATACAAAGTGCAGTTGTTTTCTGTCGGCTATTTTAGGGTTTCGTTTACCAAGATCTGAAACGAGTAGTTTTGGAGATGACCATTCCAGTTTAAAACACCTTTAAGTCAAAACTATTTATATCGTTCAAATTTTGAAATCAAAAGCGTTATTGGATTCTCCCGTCTTGTTTTACGGTTGCATTCGTTTCGCTGTTTGTATAAGCAACTTGCATGTTCACTAATCTGTTTAAAGCACCGGAGGTGAGTGACACGCTAGTAAAACCTTATTGGCCTGTATTTTTCCGTTTTTCAGAATAAATGACCCGAAATTTACAAATAACATGATGAGAGGCTGATTTCTCGATTTAATTATGCTGCAACTTTACACCAGTTTGGCTATTACTACCTCTCCAAGCAAAATCTAATTTTCGAATTTCGTTACTTTTGAGAAACATTTTGAAAAAACAACTGATTTTTTTAACATGGCTGGTTCGAAAACGCTAGCTGATTTGTGAACATTTTGTGATCTTAAAGTGTGATGATGGTATTACACATCGTTTTTGACGTGATCACGTTTTTAGTGAGGTTTTGTTTCAGCTGAAAGACCAATATGCGAAGATTTTAACTTGCAAAGCTAACAAAAAGATGCTCTCGAAAAAAGACCACGACTACACGAAAAAGCTACTGGCTGAATGGAAGCAAACGTATTCTAGTCTGGAGCTTCTCTAATTTTTGGAATTGGAAGGTCGGCAGTAGTTGAGCAGTTATCTTTTATAGTATAGAAACTTATCTATTATTTTGTAATGTTCTGTAATCTTAACTGGTTCGTTAGTTTTTTCTGTTATGTGCTGATCTAGATAATTTAGTAACCTCTGACTGGAAAACCTTGTTGGCAGCTAATGTGTTACTTGTCAGATTGCTGAACTTGTCCGCCAAGAAACATTTTGATCAAATAATTTGTTCTAATTTACTACCCTTGGGATTAGCATGTGTGCTGCAACCGGGTACTAGACCTTTTCCCGTTATCAGCTTTGTTTACAGAGTAGTCAATTATGCGAGAGCGGTAAATTTCACACATGCTCACATTTTTTGAATTTTTTACACAAGCAAAGCATAGTATTGTTTCGAAGAATTTTTTTCTAACCTAATTTGCAAATAAAAGTGCTCATTTGGTGGCACTTTTGGTATATTTCAATTTAATCATTTTAGCTTATTTAAGCAAAAACAAGTTAAAGAAACAATGTTGCTGCGTTGTTTTGGTTAGTGTTAGGTCTTGATTGGAAAAACATGTACTATGAAAATGTATGTGATTTGTTTTTCGTTTTTTTTTTGCAGCGATTTGGAAATTTTTTCACCTTTCGCAGTAATTTCAATTTTTCGAAAAAAATTACTGGATTGATTATCAAAAAATAGTGTTCATCGAAAAAGCAGCTGCTCTTTTATGTGCCTGTATTTTTCGTCAGTCTTTTTTCGTCTTACCTCACCTTCTATGGCCTTCGAAATTTTCAGTAGGGGTTTTTTTGGCCTACTTGTTTTGAATTTTTTTGGTTTTTGTCAAATATTAAATGCTCAAATCAGAGGTTAAGATTTCAATCAACAACAAATTACGGGATATCTCCTTCTCAAACGGCTGATACCAAAATTCGGCAGAAAAAAGTTATGGCCTCGAACAAGCACATCTTTTGACATTTTGGTTAATTTTTGAAACTTCGAGATTAAGGGTTCAACCGAAAAATGAAATCAGTTATGCGAATCTTACCTGCGCAAGCGGCTAAGCCGTGCCTTTTGAAAAAAATGGACTTGGAAAATATGCAATTTTAGAAATTTTGCCCAATTTCGGGAAAGTTCTTTTTTTAAAAAAATTAACATGTCGATTCTTAGATTGGTTGTTCATTAAAACTAACCTGGCGCTTAGATTTCGCTCCGTAATCTGTTTTACCCTGTTTTTTTTTAAATAAAAAAGCTGTTATGGACTTCAGAAAAACTCATTTTTAATTTTCATAAAAACTTCGTCACTATTCTCGAGAACTACTTGCTAAATCTGATTTTAAGGACTGGATCTAAAAAAAAGGTTGCTCAAAAAATTCCGGGGTTTCTTATTTGTACAGTTTGTTATAAATGTAAGTTCTGTCATTTGTAAATTTGCCGTCTGATTTGATTAATTTTTTGCTTTCTTTCTGTTATGCAAATTACCAGGTTTCGGCCTAAGTTATATCTCTCAGCTTTTTATTGTGCGTAGTTTGATATTTGCATAATTATTGATCAAATGGCCATCGAAAGCTATAATTTTGGAATGATGGGTCAAATGCCAAAAAACAAACGGATCAATATGGTACAGCTAGAAAGCTACGGCCACAATCAATCTAACGGTACCAGTTTAGATTCAATACATCAAGTATTATAGAAGTTAGAAGCAAACGAGCCTACCTTTCCAAAATTGCAGAAATGAGCATTTTGCTCCCACCTTTGAAAATTTTGCCAAAAAACGACAACAAACACATAAATATTCTTTGGCCTCGATCCATCAAGTTTTACCTAATTTATTAACAAGTGCATCTACACCAAATGCATCAATTAAAATAATAACTAACGGATAAATATCTTACTCTTGACTGGCGGATGACGTTGAAGAATAGGCTGAGAATAAACAATAATTACAAATTACTTTTTACAAGCAAAATCATAACTTCGATGTTTTAAGTAGTACGACTTATTAATATTTGCATGTTTATTGATCAAATGGCCGTCGAAAGCTATATTTTTGGAATGATGGGTCAAATGCCAAAAAAAAACAAAAACAAACGGATCAATATGGTACCGCTAGAAAGCTAGGACCACGATCAATCTAACGGTACCAATTTAGCTTCACTACATCAAGTGTTATAGAAGTTAGAAGTAAACGAGCCCACCTTTACAAAATTGCAAAAATTAGCAGTTTGCACCCCACCTTCGACAATGTTGCCAAAAAGGACAACAAACAGATAGGTATGGTCTTGGCTCAATCCATCAAGTATTACCAAATTAATTAACAAGGGCATTTACCACACCAAATGCATCAAATAGAACAATAACAAACGGATAAGTATCTTACTCCTGACAGGCGGAGGACGTCGAAGAATAGGCTGAGAATAAACAATAATTCAATTTTCGAATCAAGGGACAAGTTTATCTGAAAAGAAACAACTTTAACGATAAAAAAAACGAAAAATAAAACATCGAGTGGGGAAAATCTAAAAAAACATTTCTTAACCTAATTTCAAAATTAAGTTTTATCGGCAAAATTATAACTTCGATGTTTTGAGAAGCACTATTTATTGATATTTGCATATTTATTGATCAAATGGCCGTCGAAAGCTATATTTTTGGAATGATGGGTCAAATGTCTAAAAAAACAAAAACAAACGGATCAATATGGTACCGCTAGAAAGCTAGGACCACGATCAATATAACGGTACCAATTTAGCTTCACTACATCAAGTGTTATACAAGTTATTGGCAAACGAGCGCACCTCATCAAAAATGCCGAAAAATGAGCAGTTTGCACCCACTTTCAAAAAAATGTTTACTAAAAAACGAAAATAAACGGATAAATATGGTACCGCTAGAAAGCTAGGGCCACGATCCATCTGACGGCATATACTAGACTCAATACATCAAGTATTATAGAAGTTAGAAGCTAACAAGCCCACCTTTCCAAAATTAGCATTTTGCCCCCACCCTCGACAATGTTACCAAAAAGGACAGCAAACAGATAGGTATGGTATTGGCTCGATCCATCAAGTATTACCAAATTAATTAACAAGTGCATTTACCACACCAAATGCATCAAATAGAACAATAACAAACGGATAAGTATCTTACTCCTGATAGGCGGAGGACGTTGAAGATTAGGCTGAGAATAAACAATAATTACAAATTACTTTTCACAAGCAAAATCATAACTTCGATGTTTTAAGTAGTACGACTTATTAATATTTGCATATTTATTGATCAAATGGCCGTCGAAAGCTATATTTTTGGAATGATGGGTCAAATGCCAAAAAAAAAACAAGCGGATCAATATGGTACCGCTAGAAAGCTAGGACCACGATCAATCTAACGGTACCAATTTAGCTCCACTACATCAAGTGTTATAGAAGTTAGAAGTAAACGAGCCCACCTTTCCAAAACTGCAAAAATTAGCAGTTTGCACCCCACCTTCGACAATGTTGCCAAAAAAGGACAACAAACAGATAGGTATGGTCTTAGCTCAATCCATCAAGTATTACCAAAGTAATTAACAAGTGCATTTACCACACCAATTGCATCAAATAGAACAATAACAAACGGATAAATATCTTACTCCTGACAGGCGGAGGACGTTGAAGAATAGGCTGATAATAAACAATATTTCAATTTTCAAATCAAGGGACAAGTTTATCTGAAAAGAAACAATTATAAGGATAATAATTATGCAAAAAGAAACATCGAGTAGGGAAAATCTAAAAGTACTTTTCTAAACCTGATTTCAAAATTACTTTTTATCAGCAAAATTATAACTTCGATGTTTTGAGTAGTACGACTTAATGGTATTTGCATAGTTATTGATCAAATGGCCATCGAAAGGTATATTTTTGAAATGATGGGTCAAGTGCCAAAAAACAAAAAAAAAGATCAATATGGTATGGTCTTGGCTCAATCCATCAAGTATTACCAAAGTAATTAACAAGTGCATTTACCACACCAATTGCATCAAATAGAACAATAACAAACGGATAAGTATCTTTTTCCTGACAGGCGGAGGACGTTGAAGAATAGGCTGAGAATAAACAATAGTTCAATTTTCAAATCAAGGGACAAGTTTATCTGAAAAGAAACAATTATAAGGATAATAATTATGCAAAAAGAAACATCGAGTAGGGAAAATCTAAAAGTACTTTTCTAAACCTGATTTCAAAATTACTTTTTATCAGCAAAATCATAACTTAGATGTTTTGAGTAGTACGACTTAATGATATTTGCATAATTATTGATCCAATGGCCATCAAAGGTATATTTTTGAAATGATAGGTCAAGTGCCAAAAAACAAAAAAAAGATCAATATGGTACCGCTAGAAAGCTAGGACCACGATCAATCTAACGGTACCAGTCTAGATTCAATACATCAAGCATTATAGAAGTTAGAAGTAAGCGAGCCCACCTTTCCAAAATTGCAAAAATGATTATTTTGAACCCCACCTTTGACAATGTTGCCAAAAAAGGACAACAAACAGATAAGTATGGTTTTGGCTCGATCCATCAAATATTACCAAATTTGTTAACAAGTGCATTTACAACACCAAATGCATCAAATAAAACAATAACAAACGATAAATATCTTACTCCTGACAGGCGGAGGACGTTGAAGAATAGGCTGAGAATAAACAATAGTTCAATTTTCAAATCAAGGGTCAAGTTTATCTGAAAAGAAACAATTATAACGATATTATTTTGCAAAAAAAAAACGACTAAAAAAACATCGAGAAGGGAAAATCTAAAAGTTTTTTTCTAAACCTGATTTCAAAATTACTTTTTATGAGTAAAATCAGAACTTCGATGTTTTTAGTAGTACGACTTATTGATATTTGCATAATTATGGATCAAATGGCCATCGAAAGCTATATTTTTGGAATGATGGGTCAAATGCCAAAAAAACAAAAACAAACTGATCAATATGGTACCGCTAGAAAGCTAGGACCACGATCAATCTAACGGTTTTAATTTAGC